CTACAATCTCAATACAAACTAGTAAACTAAGCATGAGATTGTAGCCCATCACAGGAGTGAGCTTGGAGCGGTGACTACGTTACAACATGCACAGGGATCATGGGGAACAGAAGTATCCACCCTCCAGAAGGAAGGACAGTGTCAGCACCAATTAGGCCCCATTCACACCGGGGCGACTGCGTTTCAGCGTGATTTCCGCACGATTTTTGGAAGGGCTTTTTTATGAGCGTTTCAGCACTGAAACGTGATTACAAACACGTTGACCAGTGCATTTCCATTGAAGTCTACATAGGAAACACGCTGAAAAAGTAGCTCAAGGAGCAGTTCTGGCAACAGGCGGATTGAAACGCGCGATTGAACGGGCCCCATAAGAATGAATGGTTTTTTAAATGTTGGTGTTTCAGCGCAGAAACATCCGTGTGACAAAAATGCCCTGGTGTGAACGGGGCCTCAGAGATGATTTGAGGATCTACAGCCGAGTGATATACAAATAAGATACATTTTTGTTAATAGTTAGGGGGAATGAATGTGTTTTTAAGATTTAATTCCCGAGTTTAGTGTCACTTTAATTTACAAATCCGCATGGTAACCAGTATATTGCAGCCTTCTACGGTAATACTAAATAAAAAGTTTTCTTTGAAACATTCTTTTTCTAGCATTTTTGTGAGCAGGCCTAAGCCCTCGTTCACACCTGAGCGTTTTGTAGCGCGTTATACGCTTGACGAACACTCTACAAAACGCTCAAACATGAAATTCCCATTGTTTTCAATGGTCTGGTTCACACCTCGGCGTATTTCCGCCCGACCCTAACGCGCTACAAAACAGCCCACGCCTGAAAAGGTACATGTACTACTTTAGGCCGTTTTTGTTGCGCGTTTCCATTGGGATACAGCCAAGTAGCCCTCGGAAACGCGTGTTTGTCGCACAATTTTTTACCGCAAATCGTGGTAAAAAAAACGCACGACAACCGTGCATATGCAATACGCCTAGGTGTGAACCAGGCCTAAGGGCTTGTTCACACCGAAGGCGTGTGCGTTCCAGAGTGGTAGCTGCTGGTACGCACCGCGATCGCCGAGAAACTCCTACCCCCCTCGCTTCTCTGAACATGGAAGGAAGCTCCTTACGCTGCAGCCAGGGAATTGCCCATTCCAGTTGTACATAACCAAAAGGGGGCAGGATGCAGTGACATCAATGACCTTATATGACCACATGGCTATATTTGGCCAATTACATTTACCTAATATGGCCATATAAGGTCAATGATGCCATCTACAGGGGCAAGGGATGTCCCAGCCCACAGACGATTGGCCCAAAGACTTCATCTTTGTTCGTTTGGGGAGCTCAGGCTCAGTCCGAAACTGAGGTCATACCTAGATGTCAGGGAGCTCTGAGGAAGGGGAAACTCCCCGAATACGCGTTCAACTGAGTCAGCTTGTTTCTGCTGGTCTAGCAGCATATTTGGATTGTTTTCTCTGACTGCTAGGAATCTGCATGTATCCTGAGATTTATGTCCAACACGCTTTTTATCCACCTCTTTTGTGAGTACCATTTATCACTTTTAATCTTTCTAAACAAATAAAAGGATTATTTGCACCAGGAAAGGCGCCCGGTGTTTCTTTTTTATGTTTTATGTAATTCCTCATCTGTAACGGGGCGGCCTGCCTGGAACACAAGATTCAATTTGTGGCTGAAGGAGATTCCTATCTGGCGCTGGTTTTGCTTTTTGTGGAAATACCTAGATGTCACCCTGTCACACGCACAGTGCTGACACATATTGGCCAGGTATGATCTTATGTTGTCACCATGATAAAATCCAGCCCATAGCAATGATGTGCAGCTGATACAGTGCATGTGAACAGGAAGTGGCTAAAAGAGGCTGGAGGAAATCAGCAGCACTGAGGTGCAAAAACGTTGGGGGGGTGAAAATGGAATGTTATATTAACCCCTTAGTGACAGGAGACACACACTGTACGCCCGTCACCAAGTGCCCAGATGACTGCTCACATACACTGTACGTCCCTGTCACTAAGTGCCCAAATGACTGCTCACATACACTGTACATCCCTGTCACTAAGCGCCCAAATGACTGCTCACATACACTGTACGTCCCCAAGCACCCAAATAACTGCTCCTATACACTGTACGTCCCCGTCACTAAGTGCCCAGATGACTGCTCACATACACTGTACGTCCCTGTCACTAAGTGCCCAGATGACTGCTTACATACACTGTACGTCCCCGTCACTAAGTGCCCAGATGACTGCTTACATACACTGTACGTCCCCGTCACTAAGTGCCCAAATGACTCCTCACATACACTGTACGTCCCCGTCACTAAGTGCCCAAATGACTGCTCACATACACTGTACGTCCCCGTCACCAAGTGCCCAGATGACTGCTCACATACACTGTACGTCCCCGTCACCAAGTGCCCAGATGACTGCTCACATACACTGTACGTCCCTGTCACCAAGTGCCCAGTTGACTACTCATGTACACTGTATGTGAGCAGCTATTTGGGCCTCTGTAATGTTGGTAAACACTGTGATCAATGGTTATGGTTCATAAATGGATGCCTCAGTATTGGGAGATCCATTTATGAAAGAATTAAGTTTTAACAGACACAAGGTCACTTTTAGCGATTGGGTGTCTGACCGTGATAGCAGTGCGGTGTGTACAGTACTTACTATCACTGTTTGACAGAGATCGGGATTTGAAAAACCCCAATGTGTACCGGCTTTTTGCTACATGTTTCTATGTTGAAAAATTGTTCCAGGCTTCTGATCGTTGTGGGAATGATCAGAAGCCTTTAGTGAGATCTGACCCTGAAATGCTGCAGGATCAGCATGTAAGTTTCAGTGTTACTAAGGTTATTATTGATTGTTCCTAAGATTGGAGCAGCCTAATAATAACCACAAATTTAATTATCAAGCAGTAATAGTGAGATCCATTCACAATGACTGCTTCATACAATGAGAAATGAATTAAATAAAAAAAAAAAGTGTACAAAATGTGAACACTAGTGTAGACATTTTTTTTAATCAATATTTTTTATACTATTATTTTTATATAAAATTAACCCTGTACAATGAAAAGCTGCAGATTTGTTTTTCACCCTAAGGGGTTAATTTCTTTTATTTCACCCTCTCATGACAGGCGATGTTCAAAGTATGTCGCGGTCACTAAGCGTGACATTTAGTGACCGCGACCTTGTATGCCAGGTGACCACTATTAGCTTTGAGAGAAATAAAATGTTAGCTTTTAATTTTAGGGCCTGTTCACATGAGATCAGGTCCTGATCAGCAGACGTGGAGCTGCTGATGCATTGCGTTTTTGGCTGCGTTTTGGATGCGTTCCAGCTGGAGTGGGGCTGTTAGTATGTTAGCTGCAGCGCAGTGCGTTTTTGATGCGTTTTTGACGCGTTTGCGTATCCGTTCCGTTTCCGGACCTGACAAAATGTGACATGCAGTATTTTTTCTGTCGTAAGATGAACGGACTGCGCACGTGAGAACTGGAGCCCATAAAACACATAGGGATACATTGGGTTGCATTTTGAGTGCAGCAGCATACGGAGCCGGTCAGCACACAAAACGGACGTCGTGTGAACAGGCCCTTAGGCCGAGAGGTTCCAAATATTTCTGAAATCCTAGGGATGCGAGGTGTTTCCAAATAAAGGACAAATAAATGAATTGATTTTAATGTATTGTTTTTTTTTTAGCTGTTCTAAGGAAGAGAGCACCCCCCTGAAATGATGGCAGATAGCAAAGAAGCTAATGCTTCCTTTGCTATCTGCTGTTTTTTAGTGTTCTGCCGTGAGGAAAAAAAAAACCAGCATAGGAACTAATGGCTAGATTGCTATTGGCTATTTCAATTTGTAATATCCAATAGCAAGCTGGCTATTGTACCCGCCCTCTGCTGTTGTCATTCAGCAGAGGTGGACCTGATGGAGAACGTCAGGTCCACCTCTGCTGATTGACAGCAGCAGTGGGCGGGTGCAATAGCTAGATTGCTATTGCACATTGAAATAGCCAATAGCAATCTAGCTATTAGTTCCTAAGCCGTTTTTTTTTTTCTGACTGACGGCGACCCCCATGTCAGAAAAAAAAACAGCACGGAAAAGTTTACTCTGCTAGATCAAGCAGAGTAAACCTTTCAGAGAGAAAATGTTTCTCTCCCGGGTGTCCAGGAGCCGCTTATAGCGGGAGGCTCCTGGAACATCCAGGAGAGTTGAGAGGTCGGCTTACCTGAGCTAACTGAAGAGAAAAGCTGATTAGTTGCCATGGGCAACTGCTCCAGATTCTGTCTGCTCCAGTTCTGATAAATTCCCCCCAATATATAATAATTATATGCACATAGTAAGAAAGTATATTACTGCCGTGGAAGAATCACACATAGGGTTGCCACCTGTCCAGGATTCACCCGGACAGTCTGGGTTTTGAATGCTTTGTCCGGGTTTCATGGCAGCTGAGACACGGACACAAGATGTCAGACAGACAGGGGCAACCCAAATTATGATAGGGGCTACTGCCCCGACCCCCCCCCACTGAGATTAGCCTTGACTGTGATATTTTCATATGAATAAGCTGCGACTCATTCTCCCCAAAAAAATTTAGTGCGTCCCTAGAGTGTTCGGGTTTCGCTGAAAGAAAAAGGTGGCAACCCTAATCACACAGCAAAAGTGTAAAAAGTGCACCAGTCATGAATGAATGGAAACTGAATACAAGCTCAGTCATGAAGAGGTTAAGCAGAATGCCAATTGTGTTTTAGTAAACAATGTCATCGTGGGGGAATGTTACATTTACTTTAATATAAGCTCATGCCAAGTCTACACAACCTACACAGGCGACAACTGCCTATCACTTCAAGCCGTCCGCTATTGGACAGATAATAGTCACGTGACAAAGTTTGCCTTCACCGTTCGGTGTTGCACCGTCTTTTGTTGCTTCTTGCACAGACTAGAGGCCATTTCACAATGACAGCGAAAAACTCAGAGATCTTACCCTAAGCCCGCAGCATGCTCCCCCCGTCCTCAGGAGAGCCTTCCGGCCCAGCAAAGTCACCAACGCCGCCATCAGCCAGATATTCAGAACAGAGGTGATTCAAAGGCACAAAACTTTATTCACACTGACGTTATCCCTCATAAAACTTTACTCCTGCTCAGTTCGCCAAAAAAAAAAGTCTCAGTTCGGTCATGTGACACGTTCCCGGTTTATGATTGAAGGAGTGCGGTGGAGTCGCTGGCCGCCTGCGGTCTGTGGTCTGCACGGGGGTGTAATTTTATTGGTTAATTTTCCACACGTGAACTGAGCTCGGAGCTGGTATGGTTTTTTTGGGAGAACTACAACACCCAGCATGCATTTTTTTCCAAATGGCTGACCAGTTACAGTACACTGGAATTGCTCTTAAAGGACAACTTCCATTTTCTATTAAGTTGCCCAAACCCCATCGTCAGGACAAAGCCCACGACCACCCAAGACAAGAAAGACAAAGTGGCACCTCCTTCTCCTCGCCATCAGCTGTGAGCACATAGGTTGCTGGCCCTGCACTTTTTGCACTCCCTCCTTGCTGCTGAAATGCCTTAGGCAGCTGCCTCTTTTGCCTACCCCGTGGCCTGGCCCAGCCCCACTCTCCACAGTGGAAGCCACCTACCTATACCCACCTATACTTACCTTGAGGGCCCCATGAACAGCTTTTGGGCTTGTGTTGTTGGAATTAGGTTGAAACGCTTCTGAGATCATTCAGAAATTCATTGACATATGCAATTGACATGCATTGGCCTCCGTCTGACCTGTATTTGATCTGTTCACACTGACAGCTAGCTGCATCTGTGGAGTTCCCTGTGCATGCATCTCTCTCTGCCATGTAGCACTGGAATATACACCCAATAGAGGCTGATCTGTAGGGAGAACAGACTTCAAAATGGTGGCATCTGGCAAAAAGGCAGCATGGGCTTGTTCATGCCAGAACATGCTTTGGAATACATCTCATGACCTATCCTATAATGCATGTCACCCCAATGCACGGTAGACGGTAATGCTCTGCAGATGTGTGTTGCAGTGCTTTGTGAATTGCACCCCTTGTTAAAGAGCACCACAACACCAAGAAATATATATTTATGCCACGGAATCCACAAAACTGGACAAGGTGCAAAAACTGGACTGGCCAGATGAAAATCAGACAGAAGTGACCCTAATGTCACAGGCAGTAAAGAGGAAGATAACCTCTTGTGTGTAGGGTTGCCACCTTTTCTTCAAGTGAAATCTAAACACCTAGCGCCGTGCACATACATTTTTCACAGCGTTCAGTGGCAGTTTGCTAACTCAGCACTTGCAGCAGCTGAGCAACTGAACGCGCCTCTGGCAACTAGTGATGGCAGTGAGCTGGGCAGGATCACGGGCAGAGCCACTGACAGTCTTTACACATGCGCGTTATTGTACGTTACATTACAGTAGACCATTTCTTTTTATAAAGGCCCCGGCATGGACAAAAGAAGTATCCGCACTATTTTTCTGAATGCAGTGCAGCACAATGCATGGTAGAGGCATTCAAAATGAAAACTGAATAGCACAGCAACACACCAAGGAGATATGTTACCGCAACACATAGATGTAAATGGGTAAAGTTGCGGCAACACATACATGTGAATGGGCCCTGCATATTGTGACTGTCATTTCCAAATATCATTGGATTCAGCTGAGAATCGTTGTCACTTCTTTGATAATGAGGAATTGTTTAGAAATAAAGGTCTTCAAGTAATACAATGTGATGGGATTGTGAAGGGCCCATTCACACTGCACGCACACATTCATGGCCTTCTGTTCCAGTGCAGTGCGATCTGAAAAAATGCAACATGCACAATTTTTTCAGATCGCAGTGCACTAGAATGGAGGGCATTCCCGCACCTCGCGTTCTGGTATGGGCGATCGCACTGCAGGTGTGGGTGTCTGCAGTGCCTTTGACATGAATGGCAACAACACGACCCCTCCAATCCCAGAACGTGGCCCAACTTCATGTATGCAATCCAGTGCGTTCCTGGCGCGAACTGCACCGGGATGCACTGGATATGGTGTGACTACTGGTGTGTCCACTATTTTCATACATGTGATCCCTGGAGCTCAGAAGCAACGTAGAAACGTCTCACATACATCACAGTTATTCTGGTGTTCACAAATACAAATATTAGTGCTTAACATATATTTTCGCAGGGCATGTTTAAAAATCCAACTGGAGTTTTCATTTATTCATTCTCCAATCATGGGGGAAAATGCATGTAATGGCAGCTATATAGCAGGCGCTGTTGCAGCTGTGGTCACTAGGTGGCGCTGTTGCCTCATATTCCTGGAGAGCAGAGTGAGCCGTGTACACATGGAAGGCTGCTCCGTGACGTCATGATTTCGCGCCATCATATACAGAGGAGAAGGCAGGCAGCAGAGCAATGTGGAGATTGGAGAGGGAGAGTGGAGGAGGTAAATAATGGTAGATGCAAATAATGGAAGATGCAGCATGCTGTTACACAGACCAGTGACAACGCTTGTTAAGAATCGTTGATGTGCAGCAGAGTTATTACACCTGTGACGTTTGTAGAACTACATTACATGAAGTGTATCTGTCATGCACAGTTGAGCTTCCTGTTTTGTGGGTGCAATTCGTTTTCTAGTGACAGGAGTGTGCCATGGCCCTTAGTGAATTGGGAGATAATATTAGTACACCTGAAAGAAGATATCTGCTAGGATTCTGCATGTGCCACAGGTACACTTTAATCACGGTGTTCTTGTTTACTGCAGTTAGGGATATTCTGATAATTAAAGTGGACCTCTGAACATTTAATGCTCTTCCCTCATCCCAAGAAGTGCCCCTATGGTATAAAAAAAATAAAACATGTATGCTGGGAGGAGGGCACAGCAAGCAGTGGGTGAGTGCAATAGCCAGCCTGCTATTGTAATTTGAAATGGCCAATAGCAGGCTGGCTCTTGCACACACCCACTACCTGCTGTATTTACATTCAGGGCTTGTTCACACTGAATGTGGTGCGTTCCAGAGCTGTAGCTGCTGAAACGCACTGCAATCCCTCACTAAACTTCCCTGTGCGTTCTGGGTCGGGAGGGGGCGTGGCAGTGCATTGAATTCAATGGCACTGCTTCCCCGCCCGCAGTACGATCAGACGCGTGGCAAAACTTTGCCCTGCATTCTGTTCCACTGCAAACGAAAACAATAGATCAAGCCCCGCCCCAGAATGCAGGGAGAAGTTTTGTGCGGGAAATAGATAACCAGCTGCACTCCTTACAGGAACAATAGTTAACCTGCAGAAGCAGGTGGGTGCTTGTAGCGACCACGGACGGCACCGTGTACAACACAAGAGTAGCCAAAAATGTCACCAGCACACCAATGAGTAATTCAGCAAAAGTCCATTGAATGACACATTGCCATTCAGTTACAAGCGCTTTCGGGGTCTCAAGGGTACCCCTTCATCAGGCTCAGAATGACACAGTCTCAGAACACCATCACCTTTAAATAGATATACAAATAAGTGTAAAAAACATTAAATATAAATACTAGATAGTTGTGAACCAAATATGTAAATAAATTAGTCATATATGTGCCATAAAGTGAAAGTACAGTTGTGAATAATAAATTAATTGTAAAGATGGGTCACTCTGACGCTCACAATATTGGGCTAGAAAACAGTAATTTAAAAAATCTAGCAAGTTTTAAAATAAAACCACATCTACTGTGTAGATGGGTAGAGCCAGCTCTCAGTCACGCAGCTGGGCGGATCCCGGCTACAGCTCGTGGTATACTGAGCTTAGGGTGACGGGAGGACGCTAGTTTGTGTCCACCCGTTACCCTAAGGAGAACTATGGGGAAAAGCCTTAACCCCATAGTTCTCCTTTAAGCTATTCAAGCTCCATGTGCTTACAATACAATTAATATCTATATTTCATTAAACAAATTGGTATTTTTTTGTGTTTTGGGGCATTTAATTAAATTTGTCACTAAATTTTGGGGTTTAATAAGGAGTTGCGCTAATATTGCGCAACATAAAAATTTGCAACTACCACCATTATATTGTATAGGGTCTTGGCATCCAGAAAATATATAATGTGTGGGGGTTTTAAGTCATTTTCAAGCCTAAAATGTGGAATATAACATGGGTGCAAAAAAAATGAAAAAGACCTCAGTCATGAATGGGTTAATGGCACCCCAAAACGCGCTTTCCAAGTGTGATCATCCACCAACTGGAACACATGGTACCGCAATAACGTGCATTCCAGCACTGCACGAATACAAAAAACTGTGCATGCAGTTTTATTCTGAAGTAAATTTATGTTTGTAACACTGCATTTGTGTATTTTATTTTAAATTGATGCTATGAATTTAATGTTTTTTTTATCCGATTAATCGACAAAATAATCGGCCAACTGATTGATTAGTTGCAGCCCTAGCTGCTTAGTCCTGGGGTATAAGCCCTGACTGCATGGTGACGCACCCCCTAGGGGAGTGTGTAAGCGACACGCTGGGCTCACAGCAAATGGGCAGAATGACATGACTGTTGTTCTTCCCGCTGGCACAGGATCCAGGAGAACATAAAACATATGAAATGTTTAATCTGAGAAAATAGACAATTTTAAGAAAAAAATAAAGTCATTTTGAAATTGATGGCCACAACATGTCTCAAAATGTTGGGACAGGGCCATATTTACCACGGTGTAGCATCCCCTCTTCTTTTAACAACACTCTGTAAATGTCTGGGAACTGAGGAGACCAGTTGCTGGAGTTTTGGGAGAGGAATGTTGTCCCATTCTTGCCTGATATAGGATCCTAACTGCTGAACAGTCCTGAGTCTTCTTTGTTGTATTTTTAGTTTCAAGATGTGCCAGATATTTTTAATTGGTGAAAGGTCTGGAATGCACGCAGGCCAGTTAAGCACCCAGACTTTATCCAATCCTCTTCCTGGCCAGCAACCTGAGAGATGATTGGCTCCTCCTTCAACAGGAAACACAATAAAAAAATAGTTAAATACCCTCCCACCCCATCATACCTCAGTTTCTTTGTGTTTCCTACCGTCCAGGAACCTCGTCACGTTTGTTTTTTTGCTCCTGACCGCTCGTCCTTGTGGTCGCGGATCTGTGTTCAGGTCCTCTTCATGGCCGGTCACCTTGCTGTGTAGGCAGGGGGATTTCCCTTTCTCCAATTCCAGGGCTTCTTCGTCCACGCAGACTCTGGGGTGGAAGAGCCCTGAAGTTCCCCGGCCATTGCACCCTGTTCGGGTCAGCTCTAACAGCCGTTGAGGTGCCTGCACGCCGTGGACTGGCGGGAGCTGGCGTGTGGAACGCAAGGGGAGGCGTGTCTGCCTTCCAGCACTTCGGTGGTGACGTCACTTCCGGCGGCTGCGCCTCTCTGCAGATACACGCCGGGGACGCCGCTCGTGGCTGAGCAGGAACAGTTTTTGGGGGAAATAGTAGGCGCTGCAATCCAAATGGAGGATGAAAGCAGGCCGACTGCTGATTCCAGGGCCAAGGGTGCGGTGAGTCCTGCATTTTTGTTCTATGGGAGCCAGCTTGGTGGTGGAGGGACTTTGTGGATTGCTTGTGGGCATGTATTGAGGTTGATTTCTCTCTATTTGCTTAGGATGCTTCTCCTGCTGAGAAAGCCACATCCCTGGGTTCTGTTCCACCGGCTGCCCCAGCTTCTAAACAGTTACTACGGTAACTGCAACGTTAAACTCCCTCCTGATTATGTTAAAAACTTTTGTGAGGTCTGTTTGCATAAGTTTTTAGTGGCTGAATCCTCCATTTTGATGAAGATTTTTTTTGATTCCATGAAGTCGGAATTACTCACGACAATGCAGTCACTTAACCAGTTGACATCCGGGGTGTTAAACCCCCTTCCCATCCAGGCCATTTTTCAGTATTCATTCGTTGCTGAGGTGGTACCTGCTTCCACTGTGTCCTTGGAGGGATCGGAGTTGCCCGGTCCATCAGGGTTACAGTCGGGAGGGGTGTCCCAGGCCCAGGTGTCTAAAAAGGCTGATCTTTCCTTTGAAGGTGCTGGTAATATTAAAGATCAAATGGATAGGAAGGCAGAGGCTTTGCTCCATAGGGCCTGGGATGCTAATGCAGCCTCATTAGCGCCAGCCATGGCAGCCACTTGCGTGGCGCGCAATATGGATCTTTGGTTGGAACTCTGGGCAATAGTGACCACAACGCGATCACTTTCAGTATTGATCATAGGAAAAGCAAGAGGGCTGGTAGGACAAAAACCCTCAACTTCAGAAGGGCCAACTTTGATAGACTGCGCCACCAAGTGGGGGACATCAAATGGGAAAATGTATTTCAAAATCTAAACACGGACCAAAAGTGGGAATGTTTTAAAAACACGTTACATATTGCAATTGCCAAATGTATACCATTGGGTAATAAAAGTAAAAGATCAAAAACAAAACCTGTATGGCTGAATAAAACTGTAAAGCATCACATAAAGGAAAAGCGAAAGGCTTTCATAAAATATAAGATAGAGGGGACGGCATTGGCGTTCCACAACTATAAAGAAAGCAATAAAAGATGCAAACTAGAAATACGGACGGCTAAAATAGAATGCGAAAGACATATTGCCATAGAAAGTAAAAAAAAAACCAACATTTTTTTCCAATATATAAACAGTAAAAAGGTGAGAAAGGAGCAGTCTTTACGTGTCTCTCAGGGAGCTCAGGCTGAGCAGATCTTGGAGTCTTTGTCAGACTTTGGGAAGGCGGTGGCCTATTTGGCGGATACTTCCGTGGAGAGTGCTAGGGCAGCAGCCAGAGCAGGGGCATTATTGAATTCAGCCAGACGGTCTATCTTGTTGAAGTCCTCGGAGGGCGATGTTACCTCAAAGTCACGTCTCTGCTCTCTTCCTTTTGAAGGGGGTTTGTTGTTTGGGTCCGGCTTGGATGAGGTCTTAACCAGATCCTCTGAGAAAGGTAAGCCGTTTCTAGAGAAGAAGGAAAGGTTTCGTAATAAACGTTTTTTTCGTCCCCCCCAGGAGCTGAGGAAACAACCTAGCAAACCTCAGTTTCAGCAGTTGGTCCTTTAACAAGAATAAGCAAAAGGGGGGTTTGCTGTTTGTTTCCCGTTGGGAAGAAATTTCGAGCAGTCCCTTTGTCTTAGATTTTCTAAGGGGGGTTATCATTTGGAGTTTCTGGTTCAGCCTCCCCAAACCTTCTACGTGACCACTCTGCCAAGGGAACCAGTAAGGGCACAGGGTTTGTTAGAGTGCATACAATACCTGGCCTCACAGAATGTCATTTTGCCAGTACCAAAGGAGCAGTAGTTTCAGGGACTTTACTCCCATGTCCTTCTGGTGCCAAAGCCGTCAGGCAGGTTCAGGATGATCTTGAATTTGAAAAGATTGAATCAGTTCCTGAGATTCAAGCATTTCAGGATGGAGAGTATTTACTCTATCCGAAAGAGTCTCCCAAGGTCAATAT